TTTTGAACCTATATCTCGTTACGGGTGTTTGGCGTCTCATTGGTGGTTCGGATTTCGTACCAACCTTTTTTGCAACTGAAAAATTTGTCAGGTCGCGCTTTCTATTCACATTTTTCTATGTTTATTATTTCGATTAATCTATTAGGTTTACCAGTATCAGGTTGTAACATTGTGGAAACTTTTACTCGTTTTCTTCTCTTTTTCCGGCAATCCAGCAGGTCCGTAGCAATAAGAAACAGATGTCCGAAAAAATGAATTGGCCCACTGAAGAAATATCAATATCATTATAGCCCATTCACACCGGACTGCGAGCAGTTGCGATCTTACAGCGACATGAAGTGTACTAGTCGCAGTCAAACGTAAGAGGAAAAGTCCTTAAAACATGGCAAACTTAAAAACAGTCGACCTCTGACCGCGAGTTATGTGACCAGTTTGTGTACTAACGTTTTCAAAGCTTCTTTGTCACGAATGTACTTATATACCGCCCAAGGAGATGGTACAACGCCGAACATTACAGTCGAACATTGCACTTCAATTAAACACATACCCCTTCCGTATATTGTACACATATCTCTACAACTGATGTATTGAACACTATTTTAACAGTGGTATTTCTATATCACTCTACAATTGATGTATTGAGCTCTATTTTAACAGTGGTATTTCTATATCACTACAACTGATGTATTGAGCTCTATTTTAACAGTGGTAATTCTACATCGCTTTATTGATGTATTGAGCTCTATTTTAACAGTGGTATTTCTATATCTCTACAACTGATGTATTGAACACTATTTTAAAAGTGGTATTTCTATAGCTCTCTACAATTGATGCATTGAGCTCTATTTTAACAGTGGTATTTCTATATTGCTCTACAATTGATGTATTGCGCACTATTTTAACATTGATATTTCTATACCGCTCTACAATGGATGTATTGAGCTCTGTTTTAACAGTGGTATTTCTATATCGCTCTATAATTGATATATTGAGCTCTATTTTAACAGTGGTATCTCTATATTGCTCTACAATTGATATATTGAGCTCTATTTTAACAGTGGTATTTCTATATCACTCTTCAATTGATGTATTGAGCTCTATTTTAACAGTGGTAATTCTACATCGCTCTATTGATGTATTGAGCTCTATTTTAACAGTGGTATTTCTATATCTCTACAACTGATGTATTGAACACTATTTTAAAAGTGGTATTTCTATATCGCTGTATAATTGATGCATTGAGCTCTATTTTAACAGTGGTATTTCTATATCACTCTACAATTGACGTATTGAGCTCTATTTTAACAGTGGTATTTCTATATCACTCTACAATTGATATATTGAGCTCTATTTTAACAGTGGTAGTTCTATATCTCTACAACTGATGTATTGAACACTATTTTAACAGTGGTATTTCTATATCACTCTAAAATTGATGTATTGAGCTTTATTTTAACAGTGGTAATTCTACATCGCTCTATTGATGTATTGAGCTCTATTTTAACAGTGGTAGTTCTATATCACTCTACAATTGATGTATTGAGCTCTATTTTATCAGTGGTATTTCTATATCTCTACAACTGATGTATTGAACACTATTTTAACAGTGGTATTTCTATATCACTCTAAAATTGATGTATAGAGCTCTATTTTAACAGTGGTAATTCTACATCGCTCTATTGATGTATTGAGCTCTATTTTAACACTGGTAGTTCTATATCTCTACAACTGATGTATTGAACACTATTTTAAAAGTGGTATTTCTATAGCTCTCTACAATTGATGCATTGAGCTCTATTTTAACAGTGGTATTTCTATATTGCTCTACAATTGATGTATTGAGCACTATTTTAACATTGATATTTCTATACCGCTCTACAATGGATGTATTGAGCTCTGTGTTAACAGTGGTATTTCTATATCGCTCTATAATTGATATATTGAGCTCTATTTTAACAGTGGTATCTCTGTATTGCTCTACAATTGATATATTGAGCTGTATTTTAACAGTGGTATTTCTATATCACTCTACAATTGATGAATTGAGCTCTATTTTAATAGTGGTAACTCTACATCGCTCTATTGATGTATTGAGCTCTATTTTAACAGTGGTATTTCTATATCACTCTACAATTGATGTATTGAGCTCTATTTTAACAGTGGTAATTCTACATCGCTCTATTGATGTATTGAGCTCTATTTTAACAGTGGTATTTCTATATCACTCTACAATTGATGTATTGAGCTATATTTTAACAATGGTATTTCTATATCGCTCTACAATTGATGTATTGAGCTCTATTTTAACAGTGGTATTTCTATATCTCTCTACAATTGCTGTATTGAGCACTATTTTAACAGTGGTATTTCTATATCACTCTACAATTGATGTATTGAGCAGTATTTTAATGGTATTTTTGTATCTCTCTACAATTGATATATTGAGCACTATTTTAACAGTGCGACTTTTATGTTATTTTATCGTTACGTATATAAAGAAAATATACTGAAAGGGATAGATAAATCATTGTCGGAGATTGTCTTAGTATAGGTTTTGTATTTATGTAAATAGTATTCAGAAATACTAGAAAAATCGTTTGATGACGTCACTAATGACAAATAATGCTTTGCGATTAGTGACGTCATCAAACACTTAATTGGAATGGTGCAAATTGATAATGCTGTCAGTTTTCCCGGTACACATACAAAATTTAGAAAATCTGTTTAAATCCTTCACTTAAAATAGTTTTAACTTCGAGACACTTTGATTATAACTGTCAGACGAGTTAAGGGAAACATTTATCAAAATTTTAGTGTAAAGTTTTAATTAAATTTAGGCCCTAAATTTCACTAACGTCAGACTGACCCTTTATAATATTTATAATAAATATTGCTATTAATTAGAATACTTAATTACCTATGCATACTTATATATACTTATATAGATAATTACAGGTTGATAAGTTAATGATATGCATGAGATAAACGCATACCTTCGTCTCTGTTTAGTTCTATCTGGTATCATCTGTTGTTGATAGCGTCATGTGCCTATAGTATCTTTTCTCCATAGTGGGGTTTCTATGTGGGGAGTTTTCCCTCTGTCCATGATGCAGGTAAGAGGGACTAACATGGAAAAGGCGTCTATAGTCGTTCGGGTGGGACAATAAACCGAGGCCCTGTATACTACGTTTATGATTCCTCGACAGTTGGAAATCGGTAAAGGTCAGGCTAATGCCGCTGTCCTGGCAAATTTTCCCTCATTGCACCCTGCATGATGTTGCCTGCCTTCATTGGCCCATATGGTACAGAAAGGTAGGACGTAAAACTCCATTCAATTCATTTAATTTTTTTACTTTGATTTGTACATACTTCAAGTGGATTTTTAATATTGTTCCTTATTTAGGCTGACGTGATGAATAAATATTGCTAAAATATGAATTATTTATGAAACACACTGTGCTATGATGAATATTGCCGCGGGCCCATCTCGAAATGTGTGAGATATGGCGATAAGTTCGAACGTAGACCTATGCATAAAACGGTTGTGAGTTTTTAAGGTCCGATTTGTTGAATATCATTGCAGAATTAATTCGTTACTCTCGCATAGACAGAGACTCGGCTACTCGGCACCTTAATCATTGTAATAAACGTACATCAATAACAGAGTATTAGTGGTATAGTAGTAGTTATGGTAGTAGTAAGTTTAGAGTAGTAGTAGTACACGTATGAGTATAAAGGAGTCGTTGAAGTAGTAGTAAGTGTGTAGTAAGTAAGTAGTAGTAATGGTAGTAGTAATGGTAGTAGTAGAAGCAGTAGTAGTAGTAGTAGAAGTAGTAGTATTGGTAGTGGGAGTAGAAGTAATGACAGCAAGTAGCAGTAATGGTAGTAGTAGTAGTAATGGTAGTAGTAAGGAGTAGTAGTAATGATAGTGGGAGTAGTAGTAGGTAGTAGTAATGGTAGTAGTAGTAGTAATGGTAGTAGGAGTAATAGTAATGGTAGTAGGGGTAGTAGTATTGGTGGTAGTAGTAATGGTAATAGTAGTAGTGGTCGTAGAAGTAGATTTTAGAGATCATGGGTTGTTGGGAGGCTTTTTTTTTATTCAGTCCCCCCCCCCCGTAAGAAAGCTACTGTACATGTAGTAGTAGTGCGTTGTAAACAAATTGGAGGAGAACTGAACTTTGGATTTTGATTTTGAAATGGATATGTATAGCTGAATATATGATGTCGCAAACGGAAATAAACTCTTTCTTATCACACTAATTTTCAAACATAAGGAAATCTTGAATGAGCCTAAAAACCGGTTTAAAGATGTCAAATTGGACTGGGGTGTCCTAATTTTATTCTGATTAATAAGTCAAGTGAATTTGTATAGTATAAGTACCACCAATAAACAAAGCAAGAATTTCATTTCAGTGGCTCAACTATATAGATAAGTGGGGGCCCATAGACTTAAGTGAGACCCCATATATAAAGTCAAAACTTATTCTCAGTTCAGTGATAAATTTAACTGTGGCAGATCTACCGATACACGGCATATGGTATTTTGCAAATTTTGTTGTGAAAATCATACTTGGAAAATGAAAACATGACACAAGAATTCTGTGTCATTTTTTATTAAAGGGGGGCTAAGAATTTATTTGGCCGATACATCACGATTATTTTTATCCAACACAATGCATCGAAAAGACGGAAAGAATTGCGATTCATTGATTCATCGGTGAATCGTTGCAGCCCTAGAGTGCAAACTATTTGTTCTAGAGGAGCAAATGCGCCCCATCCCAACTAACGCCGCCACTGATTAAGCAATATTGAGAGGTATATAAGTTCCATAATCTTAATCTTAAATAATAATTTCTTACCAGTTATAGGCTGGGGGTTGCTGTAGTTATATGTCGTGGCCGATACAACGATGGTATATGGATTAGGAGTTGTCTGCGCTGCTACACTGTGCCCCGGCATCTGAGTAACACACGCTTTTGCAGGTGCACCATTGTCGAAACCATATATACTTCCTACCATGGAGGATATAGCTACCAATTGAAGAAAAATCACGAAAGCCATTTTTACGGCCCGTATAAGTTTTCGCAGATTTGTTAGAAACGTAATGTAGCGGCAAAATAATTGTCACCCTTACGATAGTCGATTAAACACTGTCATACGTATACAGTATAGATAGACAGTCATCCTCTTGTTTGTCACGTGATTATAGGAGGTACTATAAACATTAAAGATGGTCACACTTAAAGATAGGTTTCCTTAGTTTTCGGTGTCAAATTAAGCAAACTATTTGATTAATTGGTGTTTCTAGTGAATTATCATGTATTCTTAATCATATCATTATGTTCTTATTGCATACAATTAAGAGTTTTAAGCAATCATAAATGTCCATGATATGTACAGTCTGGATAAACTAAAAAGACTTTTTGACCTTTCTTGGTCGGTAACTCATTGGAATTCAGCTAATTATGAATTGATTATAGACGTGAGACAAACTGGTATTTTTCCTAAGTCATTAGAACACTTCTACTTTCTATTCATATAACTATTAGCATTTTCATTTTCATGAATGAAAATAGGGGAACCCATCTTTAAAGTAGCTTTACCTATCAGATAATCCTGATGTCAATGATACATGTACTTATAAATTTACGGCATGAACAAGAAATTAAAGTGACAGATTCGACTTCCATTAGACCAATATAATCGTACCTTAGTCTCTGAAACGGGAAATTTTTAGCTAATCGGTAAAATTGTTTACAGCTCTTTGTCGAAATTTGAGCCCTCAGATCCATGTATGTCCAGAATTATCCTCGTTTGAAGGTTGAAATGACGACTCGTCTTTTCCTGAGATTCTGCCATATATAGAAAAGACATCGAAATAGAAAGTGAAATTCCTTGTTTGATATATTTTTTAAGGACTTATGCGATTTTCGTACATTTCTAGTACTTCTGAAAACTATTTACAAGACCCAAAATCAACGCCCTGAAAATGACGAATCTGTCCGTTTAGCAATATGAAATGAAATTAATGGAGTTTAACGTAGGCCTATACTACTTGTCGGTAAATTTCAAGAAACCTTGTAGCTATGGGCACGATAAAATTAGATATTATTATTCAAATTTCTTTTCATTTTGTCACATCATTAAATTTTAAAGTAGACGACTTTAATAAATTGAACATATAGCTACTTTAAAAAGATTTACAATATAAAACCGTTGATCATAGAGAGAACGATGTGTATAATTATCTACCCTTCCTCTTTTTGTTGACAATAATTCAAATTTGGTTGTCCGGCGCCCAAAACACGAGTGAATAAATAGAATTTAGCTTAAAATTTAATGTTGCATTTCTCTACACGTATATTATAGAGGATGTCTTATAGGGGCGCAAGGCGATATAAAATATATACATTTTAATGGCACCCCATCTTCATAGTAATAACGACCTTCGTCTTATACTATATGGCTCGAGGGGACACCTTGCCAATCACCCCTATATATGGCAAGAAGATAATTAAGCTGATATATTATAGTCTCAAAAAAAGACGAGTCGTCTTTTTAACTTTCAAACGCTGATAATGTGGGCAGAGAGTTTCACCGACTGGCACGGACACATAATCATGTGTGGATCGTACATCGTCTTGCAGACGATAAAGATATAAAAAAGCTTACATATATATAGTCTTTTAAACTTTCAAACGTTGATAATTTTCATGGTTCAAATTTTGACGATGAGCTGTGAACACTATTACTGATTAGCTCAGCTAAAAAATTCTGTTTCTAAGAGACTAAGGTACGATAAGTCAAACGGATGGCGACCTTTTGAAAATATTTAGGTACAGTTGCGTTATCTCGGGAATATTGCAGTGTCATTAATGACCCGATGTATGTAAATAGAAGTCGTCTCAACATCGTATTAACTTGATTAAAGGGAAACAATTTGGTTAAAATTCACCGCCTTAAAGGGATTGTGAAGAGGTTTACTAAAAAATTTATGGGTGAATTGGTGCTGGGGCTCAAATTTCATAATATTCAATTTTTGAAAAATCAAAGACCCAGAGAACTCATTTCTGACAATTTTGAGCTATTAAAAACGTATCGAAACCTATATCTTTTTTATTTTGTACAAAGACACTGTTGTGTAAATGACTGTCGGAACTGAAGAAGGATTTGCTGGCGCTTAATTCTCACTTGCTGGGGCCCAGCCCCAACCCATGACGACGGGGCTGGGTATCGCGGACACTGATAGCATCTACTATACGTAAAATCTGAAGCGCATACCCTCTGCGCATAGAGTGTCTCTGCCCTGTAACCAAACAACATAAGACTGCTGTGCGTGGACTCTTCTGAACGTAATATCTGCAGTGCGTAGACTTTGCTGTACGGAAGACTAGAGACTTTATTCCACATGTCTGGCATTTGAGAATATGAAATACAAAAACACAAAATACTAACTGAAATATAAACCTCAAAATAGTGATTAGTCTTTGCGTTAAAGGGACAGATAGGGCATTTGTTTTCACCAATCATACTTGGTCCAGTTAGAAATGGAATTTTTTTTTTAGCTAAGCCTATCAGTTATAGTGTTCAAAGCCTTCAAATCCATGTGTGTGCAGAATTATCCGCGATTGAATGTTAAAACCACGACTCGTCAATTTAAGAAACTCTGTGATAAATAGAATATACATATCTAGAAATAGTGAATAAAATTCATAGTTTGAGATATTTTTAAAGGAATTATGCGATTTTCGTACATTTCTAGTACTTCTGAAGACTATTTACATATATTCTAGACTAAAATCAACACTCTAAAATAGTGCATCTGTCCCTTTAATAGAAATATAACTTTTTGAAAGTTTATATCGAAAAGAAACACATTTCCCTCCTAGAAATTTCAACCCCAAAATAGTCGAAAATTTTAGCTGAAAATTGTCCTCTGTAAAAATAAATTTTGAAGACATAATGTGCTTATGTTTATAATTATTTTTTTATCAAACGCAAAGACATTTTTAAACTAACAGTACTATTTTGAAGCAGCCATTCCAATTCTCATAAAAATAATTGTCGAGATAATAGAGGTATTTTTGAAGAGATTGTGCAATTTTCGTACAATTTCGAAGCCTATTTACAAATATATTCAATGCCCAAATCAATGGTGAACTATGGTCTTTCCTTCTGGTGCATCTATGCAATTATGAATATGGTGCCCTGGCACACATAATTATTAAGTCGGCATCTAAACAATGGCAATAGTATCATACATGTATTGAGAATAATAAGGCTAATACTCGGTAATAATGTTCAGAGCTCCGGTCGAAATTGAGCGTTCATAAAGGTCTTGGAGCAAGACTCAGTTCTAGTTGGATTTTGTTTATGGTTGGATTATGCTGATTAAAATGATTCAATTTTGGAAGTGCGGAAAATCTCCTATCTGCCTAATATTCCTTGCTACACCAGACGATCAATAATAATTGTTACCAAAGGCATGTAATAGTCAGCAAGTTTCGGACTATTTTTTGCCCATTGAGCAAAATCATTAGATATAGCAAAACTTCATCACAAAATCTGTAAACTTCAAAGCGTTAAAATTCTATTTAAAAAAAATAGCATAAGGGGATCTTTAAAATTATTTTTCACATTGTATGACAAATTATTAAGAAATAAAACATTGTAGCAGTTGATATACCACAGTTCTCCATGGCACCTGCGAATTTCCCGAAAATGGCGGGAAAACATGAGACAGATGAGCTCAGCTCCGATCATGATTTTGACAGGGGAGTAGCCAACAAATGTCAAAACAAAAAATTGACAAATTTCACAATAATAATTCATTTTTTCATAACAAAATTACTTGAAAGGTTTTAAATATTTATTTTCAAATGAAACTCACGACGGTCTGTGAATTTTCGAGCACGCGGACGAAATTTATTTTGACACGTGCCACTAATGAGAGACGTCATCCCCCCTATATTCTCATAATCGACTGTCCCAGGTGAAGCCTCGAATTTTTAGCCGATGGTTTCGGCTGCTGGCACTGTTCGCCATCGGTTTGTTAGGTTTGTTTTCTTGTTAACTTATTGAAGATTTTCCAGTTTAAATCATGGTAAGAAGTATTTTATTCGCTAAATTCTTTACGGGGTTAAATTTTCTTTCAAATTGCACAAGGTTTCTGTCACTAAAGTTGCCAGATTTTTCGTAAACGTGAAATAAGATCCTTCAAAAACAAAAATGATGGTGAGTGCAAGTCTGATTTGCACGATTTCTTGTCTTGAATTGTAAAAAAAACTTCCTGCATACCTCTCTCAATTTGATCAATGTTTTGATACTTGTAATTGTGTGTATGGAAACAAACTATCTTGTGTTTCGAGGAATTTTGAATGAATCTGACCTGTCTGAAACTAGCCTGAAAGGTGGTGAAAGTTTCATCTCGCGGCCATTTCATTTTCGGTGTTGATCAAATGAGGCATTGCTAATTCTTTGCGTATCAGTTTACACCATGTAATGTCTAAATTTAGACCAGCACGCGTCTTTCATGTATTCTATTTCATCTGTTGTTGTTTGTTTTCATTCCTGGTTTTGTAAATAAAACACTGAATTTAGACAAGGCCTAGATCTAATTGATTTTCTTGAGTTTGAGAACTTTGACTAGGCGTTGTATAATTTGTGAACAGCACTGTAGACCGTAGAAGCATTCTGCAACAGATTTATTCTTGAGCTTATGTTTCTGAAATCTGAAATCTTCAAGATTAATGAAATATACTCTGATAATGCAGTTGTTAGTCGTTAATGAATTGTAAAGAGGTTTTTTAAGTTTTTTTGTGTATCAGGAACACTGAGTGATAGCATCAATTTGCATCATTCCAATCAGGCATCTGTGGTTCCTGCAATTCCACAAAAACTACTCTCTGACTACACTGTTTTCTAAATTGAAATTGATAATCATTTTAAGAATTGAAATATCAATCTACTATCTAGAAGTAGATCTTATTCTAGGCCCTACTGAGTCTTAGATTATCTTTGGGTTGATAAAAATGTTGATTACGGAAAGTTTGAAATTTTCAGTCTGCAAAGTCTGTCATTTTCACATGAAATTTCTGGTAGGGAAGTTTTTCTATTTCAAATATGTAAGATCACTTAACCTGAAATTTCACTGCCAGCCCTAAAAATATTTTAAGACAAGTGGCATAGATCTTGCTCTTGAGTTCAAAATTTTACTTTGAATATTTCTTATGAAATGAGAGAAAACATTCAATTCAAAGCTCAATGTAGCTATCAGTTGGGATCCACACCACTGACTTAATACTTGCAATTTACAATTATTTCTGCATGTATATTTTAATATGCCCACATGGTATGAAATGGGTAAATTCAAAAGGTTATTTCTTTGAAATGGGGTCGTATATTGGCGTCATCAATGTCTGCTCTTTTCAGTCCATCCACTATAGCTCGTAAACACTTTAAAGTGATACTACGTCTTAGAATTAACATAAAATTTAAGAACTTTAAACTTTGGGAATAAGAGCCAGTAGATTTACCTAGTGTCATAAATAACATAACAGAATCCTTATATAATCTGATAAATCCAAAAAACTTAGTAATTATCCATAAATATGCAATTAACTATTGAAAAACGCTTAATATCAAGATTAAGCGTTTTTCAATAAATACTTAGTTTGATCAATTTTCCAGATTTTACAGGGATTCTGTTGTAACCTATGACACCAGGTAAACCAACTGTTGAATATATGCTCATATTTACCATTTCAAGAACTTTTTTTGTTCATTATAAGACATAGTATCACTTTAATATAGAAGACACAAATCTTTACAGATTTTGACAGAACTTGGTGTGAGCGTAATCAGCAAGGATGATCCCTATTGAAAAAATAGTATTGAGTTTTTGTTCTGGAAAATGTGTTCAATTTTTAGCTCGTAAACAAGGCACGATTTGCTGGATTTTAACAAAACTTGGTAATACCCAAAAGGTTCAAAAGAATATTTCATACTGGTAGTGGTACTGGTAATTGTTACTGTACTGCCAGATATATTTATTTAAAATCAAAGCTGCCAGTGGGCATATATAATCTTGCTAGGAAAGCTATCTTTGCTAAAGGCCATGATTCAGATATTTCTAAAGTGTGTCCTTGTTTGTATAAAAACACATGGCAAGTCATTCTATAAATAATAGTTTTGAAGGTGTCAGATATAGCAATACCAATTTTAAATATTGAAGAAGAAAAGGAATTCATTTTGTCATGAGTCAAAAATAAAATTTGATAATCCATGGGGGGCCGTCTTAACCACTAAGTTGCTCATAAATAGATAATAGATTTCTTCTTGTTGTTTATTAGTGGTTATTACTGTTATTATTGTTGTAAGTGTGAAAAGTTAATCTATTAATAGTATTTATTTGTTCTACATCAAAATCTACAATGAAGTTTACATCAGTATGAAATTGGACTGTATTTCATGCCCATACAATGGTATAGAATGAAGCAATATTTTTTAAGCCAAATTGCAAAATGTAGCTTTATTTTCTATCCTTTAAATACATATTTTATTAAAGAGATTGTAAAGAGGTTTTCTAAATTTTTTATGTCTATCAGGGACACTGATAGTATTAAGTTGCACCATTCTAATTTTCATTCTGACGTCCACTAAAGCTAACGTGTTTAATGACATCGCTAGAGGGGAACTGCATATATATGAATAGTAGCTTCCGGTATCTCCCCTCTACTGATGTCATAAAACAGCAAAAGCTTTAGTTTTAGTGGAATTGCAAGCACCACAGACATCGTAATGAAAATTAGAATGGTGCAAATTGATGCTATTAGTGTTCCTAATAGACATACAAAATTTAGAAAACCTCTTTACAATCCCTTTAATCAGCTTGTTCCCATTACTTTTATTGATGGATCTCCACCCCACATGATATTAATGTCTATTTTGGGCTATATTGTTTGTTGAGTGCCATTCATCAAAAAAACTAGAAGCAGTTGGCAGTTTATGTTTTTGAAAAAAAAAAAAATGTCTCAAAGTTTTCATTAGCCTCTCACAATGTTAACCAATTCTAAATCTTTTTGTTTTTTATTTCAGTCATCTACAGATGTTTCCCCTTCTGCTACTCCCAGCACTACCCCATTATCAGGAACCAATGCTCCTAAATTTGGCACAGTCATTCCAAACAGAATATTTGTTGGTGGCATTGCAGCAAATGTAAGTCGGATTATCAATTAATCCTTTTCATAATGTATTGCTAGTGAATAGAATGTTGTTTACACAAATTAAGGAGCATTTCAATAGGTATGAAGGGCTGGGTATCGATAACCAAATTAAGCCCTCATGCCTGTGGCAGTGCTTTAGAAAGTCAGCCCGGTGTATTGAGTTGGATTGTTGTCTGCTAGGCGATTAGGGTTCGAAAAATCAAGGTTAGAAAAATTCTGAATCCTGTGCCAGTGCTTATGGAGTCTGCCTGTTTTGATTTCAGACAACAGATGCTGAATTAAAGCAATTTTTCTCAGCTTATGGAGCAGTTAAAGATACTAAGATAATAGCAGATAGGGGTGGTGTTTCAAAAGGGTAAGTAGCACTTGCTCATAATGGAAAATCTGTTAAAACTGGTATTTGGTGTTTAAGAGCACCAATATATAAAGACATATTTAAGTACAAAGTGAAATTCATAGTTTAAGATATTTTTGATGGTATTATGGGATTTTCATACATTTCTAGTACTTCTGAAGACTGTTTTACATACGGTACTGGTATATATATCCAAGATCAAACTATGAAAATGGCGAATCTGTCTTGTTAATATCAAACTTTATGGACTTCTTTCAGTTATGGTTTTGTTACGTTTGAAAATCAGGAAGATGCAGATAGAATTATTAAAAAAGAGGTAGGTTTGGATATAAGTTAGAAATTAAGATGTAGTGGTCATGGCAAAATTTTCCTACGAAGATTTGTCTGCAATTTACCTGTTTTCAAATTAAGTGATAGGAATTTTCTAGGGGAATTTTCAATAAAGCAAGTTAGAAGAGAGTTCAGAGCATGTTCCACATGTGCCAAAAAAATAGTAGGTGCAGACAGAATTCAAAATGGCAGAGAAGGAAGTAGAAAATTTGAATGTGACATTATCCACTTTTCATACCATTAGATTCTGAGCAATTGGAACAGATGGAACCTGTTCAGAACTCTCCAATCGAGGCGCCACTCTTGTTTTGGACAGACATCACTGTACTTTCCCATCCTGTTTTGTTGCTCATCGTTGATTATTACTCTTATATTGAAACCGAACTCAATTCACGCCTTTTTTTAAATTTTTTTATCCAGTCTGATAATTTAGTGTTCAGAGACCGGAAGTTGAACATTGGTCCTGCTGTTCGTAAACAGGTATGTAATCATTGATCTTAAACGGAAGGGTTCGCCATCAGTTTGTCCAATCATATGTTAGGGTGGGGGCACTAGAATAGTCTTGATTGCTGATTTTTGTTGCTTACCCCAATCTGAGTAAAATGAGGTGTGTGCCCGCGCATTGTCGACAGGATTTATAACATCCAACTAGTTTGATACCGTCATCATCCAATCAGATTTATTTTCTTTTAAATTAGAGACTGGAGATGGCCACAGCCTTGTTCTCAGTACCGGAAACAAAAATTATTTTTAGCTAAGCCAATCGGTAATGGTGTATCCAGAATTTTCTGCATCTGAAGGTTAAAAAGATGACTTGTCATTTCTTGAGACACTGCCATATTTATATAGAAAAGATATATATAGAAATAGAAAAAGAAATTCCTAGTTTGAGACATATTTTTCAAAGAATAATGCAATTTTCATACATTTCTTGTTCATATGAAGACTATTTACATATATTCAAGACTCAAATCAACCCCCTAATATGGAGAATCTTTCCCTTAAAACAATTTGTTGTTTCTTACAGGTGATGCCAAGAAGCTATGGTGAGTAATACATTAAATTGTTACTAACATCACAATCTTGCTTGTTTGACAAGGGATATCAAATAAAAACACATTAAGTTTCGTCCTCTCTCCATGTGTAAATGAAAAATAGTCTATTTAAATTGGACCAAATTTTCGTTCTGTGTTTTATTAGCTTTTATTTTTAATATCACCACTTCAGTTAGGGTCTAATGACAGTCCTCTTGAATTTTCGTCAAAGTAATCTTTTGAACTAACATGATAAACACTGCGTTAAAAAAATATCAGTGCTGAAGAAGGTAAAATTGATATGCAGATGTCATCAAGTTAGGTCAAAGGTTAAGTAAATGGTTAACTGGACAATGTTCAAGAGTGCTGTAGTTAGAAACTAACTGAAATGGCTCTATTGAAATGAAATCTAATAAAAAAACTGAACGATAATGAATAGGAGACTCAAAGTTTCTTTTAAAATTTTGTGTTGTTGATTTTATTTTTGTCAGTCCTATATTTTTTGTTAAAAGAAATTCCATAATCTTAGATTAGATCAAAGTTCATGAAAAATTTGGGGTTTGAAGATAAATCATGATTCTTGCTATTACGAACTGGGTCTAATACCTTGACTGCAATAGTCACCTGTCTTTTATTACTGAAGTTTGTAAATGCAGCAATTTGTGGGATTGTATATCAATATCAAAACCAGCTAATCCATGCCCTTGACAGACAGATTGTTGACATGACTTACTGTCAAGGACTCTTATTCATTAACGTACAATCCAATAAATCGCTTTAATATAAGAAAGGTGGCTATTGTAGTCAAGGTATAAGCCTAAGTTAGTAATAGCTTGAAGATGTGTTGACTGTGATCTAATTGCTATCAATCTTATCTTTCTTTTGATGCAATCATACTGAGTTAGGTTGTAAGCTCAGTCTAATTAAAATTAGACCTAACTATCGTCCGTTTTTATACATCCACCTGATAATGTGGACTTATATTGCTGTCGCTCCTGTCCATCCGTGGGTCCATCAGTTCACAATTATTATAGACACAATAGAGGCTACAGTTTTTAACCAATCTTTAATGAAATTTGGTATGATTGTATGTATTAATGATGAAATAGCGGTTAAGTACAAATTTAGAATTAATCAGATGAATGGTCTCAGAGTTATTGCCCTTGACTTAAAAAGTCAAATTCAGCTTGTAGACACAATAGAGGTAGAGTTCTCATCTTATCTTCATGAAACTTGGTATGCATGTATATTTTGATGAAATAGTCAAATGGGAATTTAGTATTAATCGGATGATTGGTTTCAGAGTTATTGCCCTTGACTTTTAGGAAATGCTTCAAATTTGGCTTGTAGGCACGACAGAGGCTACAATTCTTATCTGCTCTGGATGATCGTGATGGAACTTGATTTGTTTATTGATGAGCATTTGGTATTAATCAGATGAAAGGTTTTGCCGCTATTTGTGTGTTGATGATACTTTGAACTGTTGCAAGGTTTTGCCTTGACTTTTGATTATTGAAAATAAATAAAATATAAATAAAAATGGAATGAAATGGTCTAATTTTAATTTGACTCATAAGCTCCAATAAATCACAGATTGTCTCTATAAACTTTGAAATAGTTAACACCAGGGTTTTCTAGTGGACTGTGTATAAAAAAGTAATTATAAAGTGCCCCACCTTTTTCAGATGTTGGCCAAGGCTAGGAAAATAAGTACAATGCTCAGTCCTATATCAAAATAAGGTAGTTCAGTGTTGTTGAATGGTTCTATCTTACCAAAAACCGAGTATTTTTATCTGGGCATGCCAAATAGCACAGTCATTTATTATATTTTTATTAAACCAATTTGCTTGGAGTTTGTTATGCCGACAAGTCATTCTCACACAAAACGTTTCAAGTTAATATTTTTATCAAAGTTTAAATGAATTGGCCAGCAAAATTGGTAGTGTATTATTCAAAGATAGAAGACCTGTATAAATGGAAGATCGCAGACCCCAACTAGACTCCACGGACCCCCTATACTAGAATCTGCAGATCTTCGGATTATACAGGTCTGCGATCTTCGATCTTCGGATTATACACTACCCTACAAAATTAGTTCATTCTGAAAATGAAAAGAATACAATGAAATTATGAAATGCCTATCTGCTTAAAAGGATCTTGTGGTCTGGAAGTATGCTACAAGGATTTTAAATGGATTGTAAAGAGGTTTTCTAACATTTATGTGTATTGGGGACACTGATAGCATCAATTTGCACCATTCCAATTTCCAATCCGACTTCTGTGGTTCCTGCAACTCATAAAAAGTAGGTGTTTGGTGATGTCACTATTCGTGAAGGACCTTGTGTGATCAAGCACATTTTAGGATTGGTCATGTCATAAACTTAGTGGAATTGCAGGAACTACAGAATTCCAGAAAATTTGTATGGTGCAAATTGATGCCAACAGTTAAGATAAGACATAAATTTTTTAGAAAACCTCTTTACAATCCCTTTAATTCTAAAAAGGATAGATAGCTTTTATCATTCTATAAAATATTGAAAATTAATTAAAAATTCCAGTGCCATTATTTGACATTTTTGAAAGTGAAAATGGCTTGTGTTTCTGAATCTATCATTTAGAGAGGAAAAAACTTTGTTTTAAGGATTTGTGCATTGATAAGAAAAGGAAAGAAGAGTTGTACTGTAGTCTAAAGATTTTTAATAATGTTTTATTATTATTATTATTGCATGGTACAGGCCTCATGTTAATTTATTATCTCCCTTGGTTCCGAACTATTTAATTATCTCCTTTGTCGAACCACAATTTGCCAGATGAAGGACTGTCCCTACCCGATAAGAATGTTGGCCCTTAATTTATTTTAAAAAATATAGGCATTTGTCATAACTTGCTTTGGACAGATGAGGGGATTTTTTCACTCCATCACGTCAATTAAAATCAAATGCGATGTTTCGTTAGATCATCAATTGCCATGTAGCGAATTTCTAAGTGAGAATGTCATTCGAGTTATTCTGTCAATCATGTGATTGTTACAAAACATAACATGTTCAACATCACACGATTTAAAAGAAATTATCTAATTTGTATGTCCACGATTCGTATGGTTGTGATCAAAAGTCTTCGACATGAGCAGATGTACTCAAACATACAAATTTTTTTGAGCGGTTTTAAAATTCTCAGTGATTAAGGGATAAAATACGCATGTTTGCTCCTTGCATAAGAATGCTATATTGATCAAGTTATAATCCCAAATCTACAACAAATTTTTTACCAATTGTACTTCAGTCTCAGAAACGGGGATATTTTAGCTAAGCCTATTAGTAATAGTTTTCCCAGCTTATCATAGAAATTTGAGCCTTAAAACAGATGTGTGTCCAGAATTATCCACGTTAAAAAGACCAGTCATCTTTTCTTCAGACACGGACATCTATAGGAGTAGAAATCTTAGTTTGACATATATTTAAGATGAAATTATGTGATTTTCGTACATTTCTAGTACTTCTGAAGCAAGACTTGAAATAAGCATCTAGACAAGGACATTGCACGGTATAATTTTGGCAAATGTCCGGTACAATCTCGTTTGAGCCGGACATTTTTGTTCGGTACCAAATTTATGCAAAATTATTGTTTTTCTAGTTGAAAAGATCATGAATTATCATCGATTGTGGCTGTTAAGATTGCCAATAGACGTCAAAGTTGTGTTTTCTTGAAAAATGTTCTGAATATATAAAAATAATGAAAGTAAGAAATTCATTGGCTGATATAAATAGATATCTTTTCTTGTCAAATCAGATAAGTTATTACTTCCGATGGCTCTTTTTTTATTTATGTTCCTAGAACTTTTCAACAAGATTTGATTTAATTTAATTATGGCTTTATAGCATCCCGAGAGTCACAGGGAATATAAATAATCCCTATCCTATTGCCTATTTGAATGACATAAACTATTCTTAGCTAGTTGTTAGCCTGTATTGCACTTGCAGGTGAGAAAACGGTGAATTTCAGTACTAAATTGATAGTCTTAAAGAAATTTTTGAATTGAAAATACCATATTTTATAATGTCCGGTACAAAATTTGAACTGTCTGACACAAATTGAATTCTACAGGACAAGATGTTATTTCAAGCCTTGTATAAAGACTATTTACATATATTCAAGACATATAAAAAATGGCAAGCCATACTCTTTATGATCTCAAATCCATAAAAAGACAAAGGAGATGCCCCAAGGAAATCAAATTCCAGTTTTTCTTGTTATTTTTGTTACTAAACAATAATGATGCACAATATAATTATTCTGTATGTACATCTAGTTTTTCTTTTAGACCTACAATTTTGGATGTGATGTTACACCAGTAGTTGTGTTTTTTTTTGGAGTGCAACAAAGTTTTTTGACTAATATTATATTGTATCCCTTTTTCAATCAACAATTCATTCTTAGGATAGGAAATCAAAGCTGTTTAAAGAATGAACTCTAATTTGACTTTTGAGATGCCAATATTTTTTTTGGAAAGTATCTTATGCCCTGAAATAGAAAAAAAAAATCCATACAAGCAAGAAATCAAGCAAGAAATAAAAATTTCGTTCAAAGGATGGTAAAATCAAGAGTAAAAGTTGTGTAGCAGTGTACTCCTCCAAAGAGAAGTACCATCATTTGTTCCGATGAGAGTAAGCATGGGCTGCTTGAAAAGGATTTTCTTTAGTCTCCATTGTCATCTTAGACGTTTAGTACCAAAGGCCTGTCCAAAAGGTAAAATTCTTAACCAATCAAATTGTGTCATGTAAACCTGTTTCTTGATAAAATAAATTATGGAAAAGCGAAACCCAAAGCAAACGCAATCCATACCATGGCCCCAATTGTCAATCTTCCTTGAGGCCGTGGTAATACAAAACGAAAGCATCGTGTCATTAAATGGTTTGATTAATATTAACGATACAGAATTAAGTAAGATGTTCGGTAAAGAATTGAGGGATACGATATCACTTAGTTTGCGTTTTGCTATCCAACAATTTATTTCACAAGAAACAGATTCTACAGGACAAGCTCTGATTGGTTTAAAGTATTGCCTTTGGGACCGACTTTGGTAGAAAATTTCTTAGATTACAATGTAGACTAACAATATCAGAATACAAATATATACGAAATCGTAATCTAATTTTGATTAGATTGGGCCTTGCCATCTTAAAGTCAAATTGGATTCAATCTTCGTCAAATTAATGAACAGAAAACTCAGTAAAATTAACATGAGGCCTGATTATGAAATATATATTAAATTGTAAATTAACACCTTCAATTATATTTTGTCCGTGGTTGTGTTCGCTACCTAATTTTATTTTGCGTCTTTGGGTTTGGATTTCAAACATTTATACCAGGAAATATTATTTTTACAAACTTTTGTTCCGTTTTTTTTTTATCAACTTTTGTTTTTGACATAGCCACTTCATTTAGGGTCTAACGACAGCCCACTTGAACAATAACTAGATGACATCTGCTTTATCCAATCAAATTTCTGCACTCCTCAGTGATGGCATGACAGTCTTGGTCGCTGACTCAAATCTTGAGTAAAATCTCACGTGTTCCCCTGACAAGATTATTGCGTTGCTAACAGGATTTATAATATCAGACCAGTATGATGCAAGATAGAGCGTCATCCAATCAGATTCATTTTCCTTTCAATTGCACAATCCACATGTGATTATCGACATAGTGGAAACGACCGAATTTTTGCTTCTCGTGTGCTCGCAACCGCTTGGTAAAACTCTTGTTGGTCGTGTAACCCTGCACCCTTAGCGAACACAACTTTACAAGGCTTCAAGATGTAATCAGAAGTTTATGCCTCTACCTTGATTATTTCAGAATCTAGTATTCCAGCTGGTACAGTGATGTTTGCTAATGGTGTACCTTATACTTATCAAAATGGAATGGCTATTTACCATGCTGCTGATATAGCCCAGCCACAGGTAGGAGACACTCAACCCTACAAGGTATTGGACTTTTTGTTATTTCTTAGGGTGATAATGAAGTCGGGCGAACAGAGGCGTCATCAGCCCAGGTAGAATTCATTCGTGGACTTCTCCTTAAGGCAATAGCTTCTGTGCAGGTAATTTATTTTGAATAAATGAACAAATGGGCAGATAGCTTTAGTTACTCGAACACACTAGCATTTGTTCATTTGTGGAAAAAATTATTAAAGACGTTCCACTTTTTGTTTTTTTTATGTGTATTTCAGACACTGATAGCATCAATTTGCACCATTCAAATTTTCGATCAGACGTCTGTGGTTCCACCAGTTCAACTGAAATTAAATATTTGATGACATCATTAATTGCAAGGAACCTTTTGTGATAAAGCACATTTTGCGATAATTCACGTCATCAAACACTTAGTTTTGTTGAAATTACAGGAGCCACAGACATCTGATTGAATATTCGGATCATATAAATTGATGCTATCAGTGTCCTCAATACACATTATAAATTTAGAAAACCTCTTTACAATCCCTTTTTCTGTTTTTTCAGCCGACATATGCAAGTAACCCTTACTCTACAGCAGTCATGATTCCCCAATCACCAACAGTTTACATGGCCCCAACTGCATATCAATCTGCTGCAGCTTATCAGTCAGCAGCTGCCTACCAAACTGCTGCTGCTTACCAATCGGCTGCTGTAGCAGCTGCTGCTGCGTATCACCAACCAGTAAGTTATTGCTATCAGTGACTAAAAATGATAAAGAATAATACCTCGTTCGATACCTCTCGTGATTATAGTGTTTACAGGGTCAATTTCCCTTCGATATTGGGTTTCACTCGTGTTTACCACATGGCGATTTTTTGAAAAAGTAGGTAAGTGTGAGCGGACCTCAGTGTATAAAGTATTGAATATTGTCCTACGGTCTCATCTTTAGCCCACGACGTCAGCACCAATTTCATGGTAGGTAACGAAGGAGACATTAGGCACATCTTGATTGTAAATGACTTAGAAATTTATATTATGCAATTTAAAGTTTGAATGAAACCAATAATAAAATAAACAAAGTACTAATGATCCAAAGCGCAAAACGAAAGAGAAGAGTAAGGATAGCCTGCCTGGCACCACACCCATCATGGCTACTTAACATACACAATACACATGACAAATAGGATCGTATGAACAAACTAAAAAATAAACAAACTCTGTTTTAATAACTTGCACATATTCTCTTTTTTTTTTTCAGCCAACTCCTCAATGGACTACTTCACCACAATGGCGTTGGACCCCACAGGTATCTTTTCCTTTTTTAGACCATTCTAATTTATAAATACATCTATGGGTAAAGTGATGGGCCGCTCAATTAGTGAGTTCAGGATTTATGGAATCAACAGAACGAGGTTTTCTAAAAAATTATGAGTATCAGGGACACTGATAGCACCATCAATTAGCACCATTCTAATTTTCAGTCAGATTTCTGTGGTTCCTGCAATTCCACTATAAGACGTTTGATGACGTCACTAATTGCAAAGGGCCTTAATTGATAAAGCATATTTTGCAATTAGTGATGTCATCTAACTCTTACTTTTAGTGAAATTGCAGGAACCAAAGACAGATTGGGAATGGTGCAAATTGTTGCTATCAGTGTCCCGATTCTTTTAATTAGAAAACCTCTTTACAATCCCTTTAAAAATGTATTATTTCATATTTCTGCAGAGCCCAAGTCAACCAACAGCTATAGCAGGCAATCCAAGCTATGTATATGCTATGCACACAACACCCGAACTGATGTATGCCCAGCCACCACCAACAAGCATGCAACCATCAGAACTAGATGCCTCCAGTTTACAGGAAGCTACAGCTGTTGAGGTAATACCTGGTCATTATGCACTTTAGATTAGTCAGTGGGTGTGTTCTATTATCAGTCCTGAACAAGTTTCTCACTCGCTAAGCTAAGCGAAGTACTAATGCACTCAGATTTGTTCAGGGACAATAAACGAACACACTTGATTGTTTAGATTAGAAGACTATCAATTGTGGCATTTGATAAAAGCTTGTAATTTTGTATTTGTGTTTTTCTTTTCAATTTCTGTAGATATTCTGCTCTGTTCTTAAGTCAATTACACCATTTTTTCCTTGAGCTCAAAAAACACATGCTGTTGTTTTATCAAATGCCACACAATTTTGCTTGAGAAGTACTAGTTTTTAAATGGTTGAAATTTTATGTACAAGAAAGAAAAAAAATGTTATTTAAAGTCATATACATCCAGACGCAAGGCCTTGTTGATTTTTTTATGGTAGCTTTTCAACATAATTGCTATAGCGACATTTTTGCGTTGTAGCTGTTGGCTAGTTGCCAAGGAGATGTGAAAAATTTAGCTCAACGTTGTTATTTATGTCCAAAGAATATATATGAATATGTTGTATTTATATAAATATATATTTGTTATTCCTCATGACGTAAAGAAATTTATCTGAAATTTTTATTGGTCTTGTTTTTGAAAGAATATAGAAACCTTTCGGTGATGGCCTGGAATTTTTACGTTTCAACAAAATTTAATCTATTTATAAATCATATATAGCTTTTTTTATATATTGTCATTGTGCCAATTTTCATTTTGTACATAACTTTCATGTCATTCATAATAAGGGATGTGGATAATCATATTTTGCCAGTCATATTGGCAACCCAAACCATAAACGGGCACTAGTTAGATGATTTTCACATCTCTCTATCATAATTCAAATTCATAGAAAAAGTACCAAAAAAATGTTTTGAATAGTGGTGAAAAGGATTTCATTTGTATCCAATGGTGACTAATCTTGGTATGTCTGAACATTGTGAAGTCATCCCTGCTGTGGGTTTTTAAAAATCAAAAGGGATTGTAGATCGGTTTTCTTCAATTTTTTATGTATATCAGGGACTCTTATAGAATCAATTTGCACCATTCCAATTTTCAATCAGACATCGCTAAATTTGCTTTATCACATAAGGACTTTCACAATGATTCTTTTAGTGGAATTGCCGGAACCACAGATGTTCGATAGAAAATCGGAATGGTAGAATTTGACCATTGTCCCTGATACACGTACAATTTTTGAGAAAACCTCTTTAAAATTCCTTTAGTATTTATTTAGGAAATGATTGACAAAAGCAGTTTTTGGAAATATTAAAGTATCATTCTTTCAAAATTTTGTATTTGGTGTAGACCTAAGTGTTGCATAATTTAAACCAAGGTTAAAAAATAATAACCTTGATGAATATAGTGAAGTTTTCACATAAGCCTTAGAAAATTGTTCAAATTCTATGTCACTTGGCCACGGATGCTTATTGCTAATGGGGAAGTTGAATTTGATTGTGAGATGGAGCAGGCTCAAAAAACAAAAACTTTTAAAGGGACAGGTGATCCATTTTTTTTTTGACCAATCATACCTTAGTCTCAAAAACGGGAAACTTTAAGTTAAGCCTATTAGTAATAATGTTCACAGCTCACTGTCCATTTTTGAATCTTCAAATCCATGTGTGTCTAGAATAATTCACATTTGAAAGTTGAAAATAAGAGACATAGAAATAAGAAAAGAAATTCCTAGTTTGAGATATTTTTGAAGGAATAATTAAATTTTCATTTCAAACTTCAATCGAATTCAATTTCCCCACCAAAGTTACAGGAATTGTAAGGAGGTTTTTTAAACTTTTAATTTGTATCTGGGACCCTGAAGGCATCAAAATTTACCATTTCAATTTTCATTCTGACGTTTGTGGTTCTTGCAATTCTTCTATAACTAACGCATTTTATGACGTCACTAGAGGGGAGCTACCAGAAGCTACTATTCTTATATATGCAGTTCTCCTCTAGTGATGTCATTAAACATCAGTTTCTGTGGAATTGCAAGAACCACAGACGTCAGAATGAAAATTGGAATGGTGCAAATTGATGCTATCAGTGTTCCCGATAGACATGAAAATTTAGAAAACTTCCTTACAATCCCTTTAAGATTACAATTCATCTATGGATAAGTGATAAATAAGGCGAGCTGTGGAATTTCAATGTTATCCTAAGAATTTTTTTGAGAAGTTTGTTTTGGCAAAATGTTTAGCAAGTCAGTCGATCCTTTTCAATTTTGATGTAAATAAAAATCATTGGCATATCATCCATTATATTTTAATGTAGTCTACTCGTTATATATATATGTATCTAAATGCTTATTCCAAATCATTGTCTATGTATATCATTTTATTTTTCCAAACTTATCTGTTAAAAAAAAAAAGAACAAAACTGAAAGCTCAAAATTAAAAAAAAAAAAAAAATGAAATTCTGAACACAGCACTTTAATTGTAAGAGAACTACATTTCTAAATACCATTCTTGAATTGAAATATGTAAGGTGATAATCGTAACAAATATAATCCTTACAGTATGCAAAGTTAAAAAATTCTGCTCATGAAATTTTGGATTTTTGGTGACATAATTTCTTCTAAGAAGTTTATGTATTTCAAGCCTTGGAATCAGTTGTCAAATTTTAAACATGACCATACTTTTGACCTTATTCACGCGTCAGCCATATTGAATTCAGAATGAAGCTCAAAACGCTGGTGTCTCTGCATAAAATTGTCACCTTGGCGTCTTTAACGCCACCTTCTCCAATCCTAGTAACTCGAAACTAATCATATTTTACATCATTAATATCAGAATTGATTAAGCTAAGCAATGACATATCAGATGAATTTTACCTTCAACATTTCTGAGAAAAGGTAGTATTAAGCCCATTTCCTCGCTGTTGATCGTGTCTTTGTGATGTCACATTATTTATTCCTTCTAATGATGTCACCATCTTTTCAATGGATGCCGTAATTTGCGTTATGAACCTCGCTTTCAGTGTCTCAAAAATGAGGCGTGAATAAGGTCTATTCTTTTATTCTATCTATTTTACTATGTGTATATAAAGATCTTTGGTGTATATTGAGTTAGTAATATTGTTTTGTTTGTTAATGTGTGAATGAATGGGTGTGATTTGTAATTTTTGTCTAATGTAATGATATTTAGATTATGTAAGTTCCTCGGAGATATTTTCATCAAAATGTTTGGATGTATTCCGCCTCTCACAAAAGTTTTTGATAGCACACAGCTATTAATGAATTAGGCTGATGGAAATTTAGCTTGTTGGAAATTATTTTAAGTGTAGTCTACTGTCATGCAGTCTCTGATTAAAATAAGGCAATGGCACAAGCAATAAGACCTATTTTGGACACTAAGATATGTCACGATTCGATATGTAAATGTCATCTGTAGTAGATTGGTTGTCAAATTTGATGCTAAGGAGTCTCGAGTTTTAAATGTGCTAAAGGTGGACATTTTAAAGGGATTGTACAGAGGTTGACACAATTTATGTGTATTAGTGACACCGATAAAATTAATTTGCACCATTCCAATTTTCAATCAGACATCTATGGTTCCTGCAATTCCACTAAAACTAAGTGTTTTACATCACTTATTGCGAAGGGCCTTATGTGATAAAGGCATGTTTTGGGATTAGACGTCTGATTGAAAAATTGGAATGGTGCAAATTGATGATGTCAGTGTCCCTGATACACGTAAAAATTTATAAAACCTCTTAAGGCTACCATGACAGTTTGGCCACTGAATTGCCTGTCCAGAGCCCAATTGTTTTTTAGAAAAACTGGTAATTTTGATAATTTGTATAAATCATGCTGAACATGTCAATATAACTATTAGGTAAATCTAAGGACATAGGGAGTCTTCAGTCACCCATTTACAGCCCTTAAGAAGTATTGTCATCTATGGTTCCCATTTTCCCTGCATTCTTATGTCCCTAGCCAGTGATTCAATATTATTTGTCATATTGACCAAAACTAATCATAAAAGCATATTTTGTTGCATGCCTGTTATTATTTTTTTTTTGTTTTGCTAAAACAAAGCCAATTTAACTGATATTTTGGAAAAGGATTTTAATTCATCTTTTCAAAAGAATTATTTTCCTCAGAAGATCAGGATCAATTTTATCCTCGAAATTTAGTGAAGCCTTTATTCATTATTGGGCAAAGAATAGATCAGTTCCAGATTCCCTGAGTAAGGATTCCTTTTAAGGAATTTTTTTTTTTCATTCGGAAGCTGAAAAATTAACAGGTCCTAATTTTGTAAAGTTTTTTAATCCAGTTAAATATGGCTATTTAGCAGTTTATCTTTCTGTTATGTTTCTATCCGGTGAGGGTGTGTTTTGTTTATGTTTTTGTTTCATTTTTACACATACATTCCTTTATATATAGGTGCTGTTTATTACAAAACCACATTATTAAACTGTGTCAAAAATAGGATCAGAGATATAGTAATAGGATCAGGGAATTAGTAATAGAATCAGAGATATAGTAATAGGATCAGAGATATAATAATAGGATCAGAGAATTAGTTATAGAATCAGAGAATTAGTAATAGAATCCGAGATATAGTAATAGAATCAGAGATATAGTAATAGGATCAGAGAATTAGTTATAGAATCAGAGAATTAGTAATAGAATCAGAGATATAGTAATAGAATCAGAGATATAGTAATAAATCAGAGATATAGTAATAGGATCAGAGAAATAGTTATAGAATCAGAGAAATAGTTATAGAATCAGAGAATTAGTTATAGAATCAGAGAAATAGTAATAGGATCAGAGAATTAGTAATAGAATCAGAGATATAGTAATAGGATCAGAGAATTAGTTATAGAATCAGAGAAATAGTAATAGAATCAGAGATATAGTAATAGGATCAGAGAATTAGTTATAGAATCAGAGAAATAGTAATAGAATCAGAGATTTAGTAATAGGATCAGAGAATTAGTAATAGAATCAGAGAATTAACAAATTAGGTCAGAAATTGATGGGTTAAAGAGAATTGGTAATGTATTAGAGAATAAGTAATAGAATTGGAGAATATAGTAATATATCAGATAATTTGTAATGGGAGCAATAGATTAATACTAGGATCAGATGATTAGTAATAGCATCAGGGAAATAGTAATAGCATCAGATGAATAGTAATAGCATCAGATGAATAGTAATAGGATAGTGATACTATAATGGGATCACAGATCGTAATTGGATCAGAGAAAGAGTAATTGTGTCATAGAAAGATTAGTATTGGCAACAGAGAAAGAGTAATTGTGTCAGAGAATTAGTAATATACAGAAATAGTAAAATAGCATCAGATCATTATTTGGGTTAGAGCATTCGTAATTGTCAGAGAATTAGTAATAGCATCATAGAAAATTAGTAATTGCATCAGAAAAAGAGTCATTGTGTCAGAGAAAGAGTACTAATTATTTGGGTTAGAGCATTTGTAATTTTCAGAGAAATAGCAATAGAATCATAAAAAATTAGTAATAGCATCAGATAATTATTTGAACAAAAATTAAGTTTACGAAATGAAAATTCCATTTCCAATTTTTTGAATTCACTTTATCTGCCACTGCAATTACACT